CTCCGATGTTCGAGGTCTGTAGGTTCGCAGTGTGTACAACTGCAAGTCAATTATTGGCGCTGTTGCCACATCTACATAGTCTTTATGCGTTCATTAAATATAATTTAAAACTACTTAAATATGATATTTTTATGTTGTTAATTAGTCAATATGTATGCTATGTGCATATGAGTAGATTTCTTTGCTATATACATAATGCTTATCCCAAATAATTTCAAAAGAATTTAATTTTTTCAAATTGGCAGCGGGCTTTAGTCCCATAATAGCCCAGTCATTAAAGACATGAAAGAGCCTGTTTCGAGAAAAAAATACTATTAGAAGTTTCTCTTCGGAATATTGTTCGGAAAACTGTTATAAATAAAATATCAAAAAATCAACTCGAGGCTAGTTGGGACACTTTGTTTTAAAACAGTGCTCAAAGTTATGGAAAAGTGGTTTTTTGACTCACGTAAAAAAGCTATTATTCGTAGCGAAAATAAGTTTATACAAAAAAGGTGGATATTAAATAAGCCTATAAAATGAAAAAAGTCCGATTAAATTCCGATCATTTGTTTATGCACAAGAGCACAAAAATGGTCGAAAATTGCTGTTTTCTTCAATTGCTAATAATTAATGCAATTTTCATCGCAGACACTTGTAATTCAGGATTTTTTAGGCTTTTTACACCCTTAATAAGTGGTAGAAATTTCAGCTCGAAAGCTTCATTGGTTTGACGTTGGCTGAATTTGTTATCTAAGAAGATGCTATTTTTTAATTCATTTTTCCCAAGCTCACAGGCGTTGTAGGGTTTTGATCATTAGTTGTTTTTGTACCTAAATAGTTGTATTGACATAGACATTTACCGAGAATTTAGTTTTTCAAATTTAATTTGTTTAAAATTGACTTTGAAAAAATGTTAATATTTATTAAATTGTTAAGATAGGTAATTATTATAAAATAAAATAGTAACCTCTTTACTTTAGTTTTCTTCGAATTTAAAAAAAAAATCGTTGTTGTAAGTTGATTAGAAGCTGAGATAATTTTTTTTATTTATTTAATCGCAGTGACCTTAATTATTAATATTAAGAGCCGAAATTTGGAGAGAATATACATTAAGAGCTATATTTTCATGTCCTACATTAACATTAAGGTGAATTCAACTATTTAATTTCGAAAAAGAAGATAGCGGCGATGCGTTCTATTACTTGGTCTAGCGAACGAGTGGGGAAGGCGAGGCTTAGCATGCGCGCTTAACGATGTAATAAATATTAACATTTTTTCAGTCATTTTTAAACAAATTAAATTTGAAAAATTAAATTATCAGTAAATGCATATGTCAATACAACTATTTAGGTACAAAAACAACTAATGATCGAAACCCTACAACGCCTGTGAGCTTGGGAAAAATGAATTGAAAATAGCATCTTCTTAGATAACAAATTCCGCCAACGCCAAGCTAATGAAGTTTTTGGGCTGAAATTTTTACCACTTATTAAGGGTGCAAAAAGCTTCAAAAATCCTGAATTACAAGTGTCTGCGATGAAAATTGCATTAATTATTAGCAATTGAAAAAAGCGGACAATTTCGACCATTTTTGAGCTCTTGCGCATAAACAAATTATCGGAATTTAATCGGACTTGTCTTATTTTACAGATTTATTTAATACCTACCTTTTTTGTATAAACCTTTTTTTCTCTATGAATAACAGTTTTTTTACGCCAGTCGAAAAACTACTTTTTCATAATTTTGACCATTGTTTTAACAAAGTTTCCCAACTAGTCTCGAGTTGATTTTTTGATATTTTGTTTATAACACATTTCTGAACAATATTCCGCAGAAAAACTTCTAATAGTATTTTTTCCCCGAAAAAAAGCTGTAATGATTGGCCTATAAGAAAAGCATAGGACTCCCCCTGCGCTCCTCACTTCCCTCGGACCCCGATATACCTCCTTAACACCCTGTATCTTGAACACAGTACCCTATTCTGAAGCATCTTGTATAAAACTCAAAGAAAACAGAAACGAACAGCAGCAATGCTGTCTTCATCGTATAATTAATAATTTCATAAACGCGAATCTGACAGTTCTGACGTCGTCGGCGGTAGCAGCGAAAAAAGTGGAAGCCTCGGTGATCCGTCTGCAGTTTGTTGGTGGCCGGTGATGAGCCCCGTACGCCCTGCGTCTGCGGGTGTCGAGTTACTCGCTGAAGACAGCCCGCAGCTGCAACCCGATACCACGAAGCGAACTTTTCTGCGGTTAAATTTACCCCCAGCGAACGTAGATAGCGACAAAGAGCAAATACTGGAGTTTCGAGGAGCGAAATGATTCACAAAAATCAAATTTTATTGCATCTAGGAGAAAACCAGTATGGGTTTGTTTGGTCGCTGGTTTTTATACCTATTATACACCTAAACCAACTCTCGAAATTTGTTGGTTAATTTTGTTCAATTCAATTCTTAATCAAACACTAGAAATTCTGAATCCTCATTTTATCTTAGCTTTTGATATGCTCTTACCTTACAACTTTGCCATGTTTCCTCACTTTAATAAAAATATGACAACCACAAAACTATACATTTGACAGAAACAAGGAAGCAATAGAACCCCCTTATCTTTAAATAAGCGCTTGATAAATACGTTACAATTTAAAAGAATCGCCACAAATGTCAAAAAGAGCTGTAAAAGTATTTAAAACATTCAGGTCTAATAGGCGAGCGGTTCACCCCTAAATAGATGCTTCTAAATGAAGGTAACCGACTAAATGTTTAAAACAAAAACCTACAACATGGAACTTTTTTTTATTTTATAGTGTATTTTTCTGATAATTTATATATTTTTTTTTATATTTTTCGGCGTGGTCAGTCAATTGTTATAAACAAAAAAGTTGTAAAAATAGTTTTTGGATTGTAAAATGGACCAAAATAAACACTTTTTGTTCTTTGAGAAAAATTCGAAAAATGCTTTGTTTCCGAGATATTTACAATTTCATGTGAAAAAAGTGACGAATTCGACAAACTTTCGGAATTTTTTTCTCAAAAACTACTGAACAGAGTTTAATTCTAAAAAAAGCATAACAATCGGCAGATCTACTTTAAGACATATTTTTTTGGTATACGTCAATTATTTTATTGAAGGTCTAAAGCGAGTAAAAAAAATCTTTTAAAGAAAATCATGATAAACATACGCATCAAAATGGCGGCGTCAGTGGCGTTACGTCGCGCGTGAAACACTTCAAAATTTCTTTTTACAATATTTTGGACTAGATTATATATACAGTACTACATAATGTTATTAGGATATTTTTAATCGATATATAACAAAAACATTTAATGATTCAATCGGCTAATACGAAAATAACCATAATTTTTCCTACATTTATTATAATTAAACGTAATTTTTGCAATTATTTAGATGCGTTAGATGCTTCAAAAATATTTTTGTTCATGTAGTGGAAAATGTTCTACGAAAAATTGTAATTGTTTGTCATCGAACCTGGAATGCTGTGTAGTCTGTGCGTGCTCAGATGAATGCCAGAATGTTCCATCCGAAATTAATTATGAAACGCTTATTTCAACTTAAGAACTTGTCAAATATAACGAAAAAAAATTTATATATTTTTATTGCTCTTAATATTTTTGTAAAATAAAATAAAATAATTACCCTATACAATAAATTATCCAATAACTTTTTTATTTTTCGAGACAGCTAGGTCAATTATTATTATTTTATTAAGTTAATTTTAAGATTTTTTAGTTTAGTTTTGTATAACTTTCAAGTCAATTTTAGTCATTTATAAAACCAAAAATCGAATATTTAAAATTTACTAATTACTTGCAAAAACTTTACTCCGGCTATAAAACCAAACAAAATGATCTTTTGAACATTTGTACTGTTAACATGTATCGATTAAAAAAAGTCATAATAATGTTTATTGTAAATATAAACTAATCCAAGATATTGTAAAAAAAATTAAATTTGAAGTGTTATCATAATTTTCTTTAAGACTTTATTTATTCGCTTTAGACCTTAAAAAAAATGATTGACCCATACCAAAAAAATATAGCTTAAAGTAGAAGATTTGCCGATTATTATGCTTTTTTAGAATTAAAATCTGTTCAGTAGTTTTTGAGAAAAAAATTCCGAAAATTTGTCGACTTCGTCACTTTTTTCACATTAAATTGTAAATATCTCGGAAACGAAGCATTTTTCGAATTTTTGTCAATAAACAAAAAGTATTTAGTTTGGTCAATTTTACGATAAAAAACTATTTTCAAAGCCATTCGGCGAGTAATTTTTTTGACTTTTTTGTTTATAACAACTGACTGACCACGCCGAAAAATATAAAAAAATATGTAAATTATCAGAAAAATACACTATAAAATAAAAAAGTTTCATGCTGTAGGTTGTTTTAAAAATTTAGTCGATTCATGCCTTTTTAGGGGTGAACCGCCCGCCTATAAACGTTAATTCTGACACTCGCCTATAAATGGTGGCACCACTGGCAACAATCAAAATAATGTGACACTATTGCCACAGAGGACTATGTGCTATTGCCGCGACTGTATTTTATAGTCACTGAATTAATAAATATTCCTCTACCAAGGCGAGATCTATAAGTTTTTGTATAAATTAATACTGGAAAAAACATTCCAAGAAGTCGTTAGATGGCGCTGTATTACTTTTTTCCGTAAATCCTGATAAATTAATAGCGTTGACTGAAGTATTGTATTTCAATGGACGCAAAAAGCCTTATTAGTTTCCTCATAAATCGACTGAACTGATTCACAAACTTACTAGCTAAATGTATCGCGTTTTTTTTTATTTTATAAAACCATCTTCGATCCTTTGTATCTCAAAAACAAGAAACACTAACCCCTTGGCCTGCAGCAAATACATTGATTTATATTCCACCAGAATTTATTCCACTTTTTTCCTTTTTCGAAACACCCTTCATAAAATGTCACCTTCCTAAACGACTCCCAATTCTCTCAGTCGCACTAATCACTGTCATCCTCTTTGCAGCACCCAGACGAACCCCGAGAAGCCCCACCTTGACTCCAGCGGCTCGGACAGCGAGGCCGAGGCCCAGAAGATGGCTGCGGCGGCGGCGGCGGCGGCGGTGTCGTACGCGGCGCCACCCAACATGATGCAGACACAGATTAACCCCTATCAGACCATGGGGCCGCCTACAACGTACCCCTGCCACCAACCCATGTACCAGACCCCCCCGGAGATGCTGCACGACTACCAGACCTTGTGACAGTGGTTGGCCGCCCCTCAGGACGCCACCGCCGTCGCTGGGAACATGTAGATAGCGATTATTAGTGAAACAATTGTTGCGGGGCGCCTCAGGAGTGTTCTTGAGGGAGACAAAATTGTTGTGCGGTCGAAAATTGTCTGTTAAACATCATTTTTGTTCCCTTCTATACCTTTTTAAAGTCGATACTTTAATTTTTTCTATATGCAAGTAAGCTTTAGTTTGTAATATAGGTAGAAAATTAATGGTGTACTTCACCTACTTGTTTGTAGAGAAAAATACGTAAAACTAACACGCTTCTGATGCGTTCCTACAACGGTATTTATATACTGAATTTTGAAAAAAATTCTGTGTTATTTTTCTGAATGTGTGCAACTGACGGCATGCAGTTTTTAATTGCTGAAGAGCAGTTGCAAATATTCCTCTACGACGAACTTATGTACTTAAGCGCTCTGATTTTTGTTCACATTTCTGCAATTTGTAAATATTATACAGAATTTAATTTAATTTTGTACTTAATATTGTGAATTATGTATAAAATTGTTACAGCCTTAGATACTATTATATTTATTTTTATCTTAAAGATATCAACTTGTTTTTAATCCATTACTGGATTTTGTACTACAATACTCTTATTTCGATTAAATTGCATTTTCCCCTACACCATTCTTTAATTATTGTTTAAATAATCTATGGATATATCGCAAATGCATAATTAAATTGAAAGTACCCAGGAATTGCAAACTTAGGCAGGAAAATTCTAGATGGCGACTCCTGTGCAAGGGTCAAATGGATTTTATGGTAGTGTCGCCATCTAGCAGACTTACTCTTAAGTTTGAGTGATTGTCCATCTATGGGTGGAGATATTAAGGAATTTTAATAATGTTTATTATGAAACTAGACATTATCTGTATAGGCCAGTCATTATTGCTTTTTTTCGGGAAAAAAATACTATTAGAAGTTTCTCTGCGGAATATTGTTCAGAAACGTGTTATAAACAAAATATCAAAAAATCAAACTTTGTTAAAACAATGGTCAAAATTATGGAAAAGTGTTTTTTTGACTCGCGTAAAATAACTGTTATTCATAGAGAAAAAAAGGTTTATACAAAAAAGGTAGGTATTAAATAAATCTGTAAAATAAGACAAGTCCGATTAAATTCCGATAATTTGTTTATGCGCAAGAGCTCAAAAATGGTCGAATTTGAGCTCTTGCGCAT